TACGGGCGAAACATTAGGAAGAACAACCTTCAGAACACGGCCAAGGAACCCACAACAACCATCAGATCCCGGCCGTGAAAGCATTCGAGAATACATAAAACATACAATTCTGCAATAGATATTTGATGATTTCTGTTTGAAGATAGCTGAGACATACAACCTCCATATTCCATAAAATTATTAGGTATCTTAGTATTCTGAATGAGGGCCGAGAACCTCACCCCACATCTTGAATCAAGGCCAAAGCTGTGGAAGAGAGTTGCTAGGAAACCACATCTGTGTCTGGAGTAACAAGAATAAATTTTGTTGTGCCCCTCTGCACACACAAGAAGATTCATTCATTTAACCTGTGAATGTAACATCTGCATCTGTGTGCTTGCTGTGGTTTCTCCCCTCACTCTGAAGTGTATGACTGTATTAATTTCATGTGGTCTTGTAATGGATGCTGTGTTAAATTGTAGAGATGCATTGCATTGGGAAATACAAACAAACAAAAATCCATACCACAGCTGGTGACTGTAATATATCTCTCAATGTGCTCTGGGGCCTAATAATGTATTCGCTCTCCGTGGTGCTACAGGCATGAATGAACAGTTGTAGGCTGTCTGCCAGCTTGCAGTCTGTGACAGGTTGAGGCTGGTGCCCACATGGAATCTTTTCTAGCATACTAAGAGTTTTTGTTGAATTCCTAGCCCATGTAATGTAATGATCTGCAAATCATCAGACATATTCCAATTGCTTTTCTCTTTTTTTAAACCTAGAAAATCTTAACTAATCTATACAGTAAACCCATAAAATACACTAGTCTTATTCTAGTATATCAGAGAGTGGCTTGCCTCAGACTATTCAGAAAGTCTGGTGGCTGAATTGGAAAATGAACTTGGAGAACAATGAGCGGGTTCCTTCCTAACCATAGGCTGATAGTTTCCTTATATCTGAATATTTAGAGATAGTATGATTGCACAACACCGCCCTATTCTTGAAAATGTTGTTTAAGATCCTTCTCCAATCTGCATTTAAAAATAATCTTAATAAGAAAAAGTACAGATAAAACACATGGCCAGAAACCTGTTAGCAATTTACGTGTCCATAGGTTAAATTGTATAAATTACCATGGTGAATGGCTAACTGGGCACACAGTAGTAATGCAGCTAGTTGCATTACTGAGTGCACAATAGTTATGCAGCCAGCACACTAATAGTTAATGGCAGTTCACCGCAGTGAGTTATGCAGTTTAATTTATGCATGCATAAATCTGCAACAAGATTCCAGTAGTTACACTTGAGGTTCCCAAACTTGGGACCCAAATATACTTGGACTATTGGCTGCACTTGCTAGGGCTTCTGGGAGTTGCAGTCCAGGGACATCTGGAGACTGAGATTTGGGAACCACAGGAAGAATTAATCAAGGTCAAAATGTATAACATTTTCCCCTTTATAACACTATATGAAAAGATTCTGTGGTTATTTGCTTCCTTTTGACCTGTTTATAATGATGGATGTTTTTTATACTCAACCAAATCCTGTGGAGTTTGTATGTGTGTTATGCACTGTAACGTCACTACCAACTGAATGGTAACCTGAATAAGGTATTCAAAGTATGTTAGATGTGGAAGAAGCGGTTTGCTGTTACCACCTCACGGTGTGTTTCCATCAACCATTGAGGAATTCAAACCCAGGCTTTCTGACCTCTACTCAGGCACTCTATACTACACTAGTTCTGTGGACATTTACGCATGATAAAAGGGTCATGATGTAACTGACCATCTATATATGTAATTAGGACCCCAGGTGGCCAAGGGGACAATAGTACTATCTTCCCATGATGAGGAAAATGTTATCAGTGACTGGTGAGGTGCAGTGGGCCGGTTGTGTGGAATTTTCAACACTTGGAAAGACTTGGGGCAGGTGAGGAGGTTTTGTGAAACATCATGCTGTTCAAAAGCCCATGGTGTTATTACCCTAAATCCTGTGTGCTTTGCTCTGCCTTTCTTTCTGTGCTACAGACTGCGGTGGTGTGGCTCTAGGAATGTACAACCTGGACCAGTCCATCAGGGATTTTGCACACAGTTCTTTCCAGATGGCCTTGTCTAAAGCCTGGCCCCTTTACATGAGCACCAAGAACACCATTTTGAAGCGATACGATGGACGCTTTAAGGACATCTTTCAGGAGATCTATGAGAAGTAATAACATTTTGTTACATGATATATTTTCATCTTGCAATTATATCTCTGGATCAAAGAACTGTACAGTGGTGCCTCGCGACACAAAAGTAATTCATTCCGCAAGTAGCATCATATTGCAAAATTTTAGTCTTGCGAAAGCCCGGTTTCCCATAGGAATGCATTACAATGCATTCCCATGGGAAACCTCGCGAGACAAACAAATTATTTTTGTCTTGCGAGGCATCACTCTTACGGGGGGAATATCCTCTTGCGAAGCACGGCCATAGAAAAAGCCATCTTGTGAGTCACCACAACAATCGCAAAAAGTTTTCATCTTGCTAGTTTTTCGTCCGGCAAGGCATTCGTCTTGCAAGGCACCACTGTATCATTTTTTACAAGCCACAATAGACTTGGTTCTAAAGGGTCTTCCTCAGAATCCAATCAGGTACTGGGGAAGAGTAAACGACAAGTACGAATAGCACTGTTGCTAATGACACGAGGTATGTCTAATGGCTGACATGCACAGAAGTGGAAGGAAAGTCTGATGCTGCACAACACATACAACTGAAACTTGAGAATCAAGGTAAACTGGAAACTAGAGCAAGAAATGGGATGTATAAAAATTGTAGTGTTTGATGTGAATTAACTAAAGTGGACTGGGATATTTTTATTAAATTACAAAGTATTCTACTCTGAAAATTACAAACTTGGAAGAAATGGGGTGGCTCTAAGGTGTTTCGGGTAGTTAGGGACTATAAGGCAAGGTTTGACCGAATAATATCAAGCAAGCCCTCTGGGAACACCTTGCAACATAACCATCATTCAAGTCTTTGCTCCAGCTGCAAATACTGAAGATGAAATTGAAAGCATTTATGGTGGCTCTCAAGAGGAAACTGATCGCACACAAAAACAGGACATGCCTATAATATTCAAAAGATTGCAAAAGTAGGGAACAAAGCAGAACCAAATGTTGGAAAATTTGACCTGTGGTTCCCAACCTTAGGTAACCCAGATGTTCTTGGACTGCAACTCCCAGAAACCCTGGCTGACACAGCTAATGGTGAAGGCTTCTGGTAGTTGCAGTCCACAAACATCTGAGTTACCTGAAGTTGGGAACCACTGGCCTAAGAGACAGAAATGAAGGAGTTCTGTGAAACCAATTCATAGAGTTCTTTGAAGCCAATTATCTGTTTATTGCAAACACAAGCTTCAAGCAGCTGATGGTCAATATAGAAATCAAATAGACTATGTCACTGGAAGCAAGAGATGGAGAAGCTGTATTCTCTCTGGCAAAACAAGACCAGGAATGGCTGTGGTACTGAACATTATCCAACATTAGAGTAAAGCTGAAAATAACACTGAAAGAACTATGGTGCCAAAATATAATTTAAATAGCATTCCTGATTAATTTGAACTCCACATAAGAAACAGTGAGCCAGAGGCACTGTGGATTGAAACCAGAGATATTATTAAGGAATAATGCAAAAAGACAATTCCTGTAGTAAAAAAGAAAGAAAAATGAAGATGGATGACAGAAGAAACACTTAAAATTGTAAAGGACAGACAAGTAAAAGGTGGCAGATGTAAACTCAGAACCCTGAATGGAGCTTTTTAGCAAATGTTACAAGGAGACAACTATTATGATACAATTTTAATATAATAGTGGTTTAGTTGTTTTAAAATATTTATATACTTTTTTAGCTTTTAAATGCTGTCTCTTAATTATGTAAGTCACATTGGGTCCTTTTTTTAAGGAGAAAGGCAGGGAAGCACATTATCTGATCAGGATAAAATAAAGGCAAGGTGGAAATAGTATACTGAAGACCCATACAAAAGAGATAAAAGGGCGATGGACTCCTTTGAAGTGGAACTTTATGATGAAGAACCTGCAGTTCTAGAAAGTGAAGTGAAAGCTACTCTGAAAACACTAGGAAGAAATAAATCATTGGGGTAGATGGAATACTCGTAGAATTATTTCAAGCTACAGAGACTAGTCTATCAAAATCCTAATAAGAACATGCCAAAAAATATGGAAAACAAAACACAGACTGGAAACATTCAATATATATTCCTGCGCCCAAGAAAAGAGATGCCAATGAGTACAGTATCTATAGGATCATTGCTCTAATTTCCTGTGCAAGCAAAGTGATGCTCAAGGTGTTGCAACAAAGACATTTACCTTATATGGAGCAAGAAATGCCTGGTGTTCAAGCTGGATTCTGAAAAGGAAGAAGTGCTCATCTTCATATTGCAAATACTGTATCCTCTAGCTATTTGAGCATACCAAAGAATTACAGAAGATCAGTCTATGCTCTATAGACTACAGCACGGGTCTTCAAACATTTGAGCACGAGGGCCACATTGTATATTTTCAACAATTTTGAGGGCTGAAGGAACATGCGTGCATGAGTTTCTAACAAAACATCTTTATTCGTTAACAACTTGTCAATTTCAACAGTAATAACATTGAAATTATTCCATCTCTGGCTTCGGGGACATGCCATTATCTCCTTTCTCATCAAACCATAATAAGTCCCCTTTTAATGGTAGGGGGGAGGAACTTAAGTCTCTATAACACCACTTCTGTCGAACACCCAATTCATTGGGTACACCTGCCATTAACGTTATTGGGGAAGGTAGAAAACCCAGCCCACCTGTAGTTCCCACACTTTCTTGCCTGGGTTCTACCTCAGCCTCGATCGGAATAGATTCGCTCCATGGGGTTTCCCAGGATGGTCTGTACATGGTCTGTTGTCTCAGCCTCACAAGCATTGACAATGAAGAACTTGAAATAGTGAAAAAATTTGTATACCTTGGTTCAATCCTCAATCCAAATTGACACTGCAGCCAAGAAATCAGAAGAAAACTGAGACTAGGAAGGGCAGTAACAAAGGAATTGAAAATATCAAGGGTAAGGATGTGTCACTGGAGACCAAGACCAGGATCATCCACACTCTTGTATTCCTGATCACCACAGATCAGTGTGAAAACTGAACACTAAAGAAAGCTGACAGGGGAAAAATTGTTTAATTTGACATATGGTGCTAGAGGAGAACTTTGTGGATACTCTAGACTGCCAGAAAGACAAATAAGTGGGTCCTAGATCAAATCAACCCAGAACTATCTCAGGAGGCAAACATGATGAAGCTACTTTCCTCTCTTATCGCACACATATAGAAACTCCTGGGGGAAAATCAACCTGGAAAAATGATTATCAAGACATACTGTATATGAATATTCACATATGACTATGGAAATTATTAAGGCTGTCAGAGGCAGGTGTTGATCAATTTATTCTCATTCCCAGGTTATGGCTCCTTGGGAATGATGACTAGTGTCCTGATATGTCCAGACGGAAAAACAGTAGAAGCTGAAGCTGCTCATGGCACTGTGACTCGCCATTATCGTATGCACCAGAAAGGTCAAGAAACCTCCACCAACCCCATTGGTAAGCTGCTCCTGATTTTCTCAGCCCTACACAGAGACCACATTAAGCAGGGGCTAAATGTTGAGCCATAATCCCAAGGCAACCTGGGAGTCATTGTCCTGTTTGTTTAGGTTTGGTCAGAAATCCATTGGGCCGTATTTATTAGTATGAGACCGGGTACTCTGTTTACCAGTAGGCCCTGGGTAAGCATGAGTCGGCTTTCTTGAACACGTGAATTAGTTGATTAGTTACCGTACTTTTCCGTGTATAAAATGACACTTTTTCCTGAAATCATTAGAGGAAAAATTGAGGGTCATTTTCTACACGGAAGGAGGAGATGAAGGAGCCAGTGCTGGGGCTCAGCTCCAGTTCACGGCGCCGCCTTGTCCCCTGCCTGAAGGGAGCCTAGGAGTGGCGCTGGAGGAGGCGATTCTGCCGCTGGGGGCAGTAGTCAATGGGCAGCTGCGAGACTGCTAACACTGGAACTCCTATTGATGCAACCAAGAATTGTATTGGCTTTCTTGGCAGTCACATCACACTGCTGACTCATGTTCAGTTTGTGGTCTAAGACTCCTAGATTCCTTTCACAGGTACTGTTGTCTAGCCAGGTGTCTTCCATCCTATATCTGTGCAGTTCATTTTTCTGCCTAGGTGAAGGACCTTACATTTCTCCCTGTTGAAATCCATTTTGTTAGTTTTGGCCCAGGACTCTAATCTGTCAAGGTCATTTTGAATTTTAATCCTGTCCTCTGGGGAATTAGCAATCCCTCCCAATTTGGTATTATCTGCCAATTTAATCAGCATACTCTCTATTCCTTCATCCAAGTCATTGATAAAGATGTTGAATAGCACAGGGCCCAGAACAGAACCCCGAGGCACCCCACTAGTTACCTCTCTCCAGGATGAAGAGAAGCCATTTGGATTGCAGTATTCATTTGGAATGAGTTGACTGGTGTACTTCTCCAAGAAATCTTTGAGGTTTCCACTACCTAATTTCTTTAAGGCAATATTTGAAGTAACCATCATTATACAGAGATCCTTATAAAATTTTGACTGGGTATTTAATTAACCTGCAGTTGAAGAAGAAGGTCTTTCAAAAAGAAGACATTGCCTGTTCTCAGAAAGATATATCTTGCTAAAATACTCTTATGTTTTGCAGTATCACAATGTTGTTGAATATTAAAACACTTTTGGACTACCACCTTAACTTCAGACAATTTACAAAACAAAATGCCACCATCATCGTGGACAATCCATTCCCTAAACTCTTGAACAAAATGCCAAAATTTTACACTTGCCAAACATCTACTTTTAAACATGTTGAAACTGGTGAGAGGGTTGCCAATAACCAAATATGACCAAACGTTGACACTTATTACAAAATTAAGCAGAAATATGATGTAGCAAAGTCAAAATATGACTTTCCAGGCAAAATAAAAACCACCCAGTTCTCACCAGATTACTCATAAACATGTTTTAACTTAGCTATAAATTGAAATAAAGTTGGCAGAAGAAAATATGACATGTCATAGAAATCCTTG